AATTAGAACTAGAAGCTGCTTCTTTGTGTTAAGGGGAGTGGTGGCCTAGTGGTTATGGGCATAGAGCTTGGAATCCTGAGGTTGTGAGTTTGAAACCCACTTCCCACAGACTGCCACTGAGCAACACCCTTAACACCTCATTGCCCCACGATTGCAACCAACTGCTTCTCAAGGGGATGGGTTAAATGCAGAGGGAAATTTCTCCAATGTGAGATACATAAAGTTCAATTGTCATGTGTGATTCTAGGTATGCAGAGTAGCCTTAAAGACCAGAGAGGCTTTGGTGGTTGATACGCTACCAAGTCTGTAATGTGCTTTGGTGTTAAGCCATTCAGTGATTTATAGACTAACAGGGAGCCAGTGTAACAACTGTAAAACTGGGGTGATGTTCTCCACTTATGAGGAGGCAGGCAGCAGTGTTCTAGATCCGCCGTCTGGTCTGCTTTTGAGGCAGACCTGTGAAGACACTGCTGCTGTAATTTATTAAACTAAAGATAGCACATTGGTGAGATTTTCAGAGACCCTGCATGGAACATCCTTTAATCCTGGAAATGTTCCAGTGATAAAAGGCTTCATTTCTTCTATGCATTTATCCAGTAGACTGAATCCCAGGTTTTGTTCGATCAATATCTCAACCTTAAGAAACCAAACCTTTTATTTTCAGATGCAGAACATCTGAGAAGTTTGTTCATGTACTGTAAAATGTATAGATACTTTGTTTGTGCTCCTTTTCCATAATTATTGTAGTATTTCCATGGAGGCAGTCACTCTGTGGCAATGCTGGTATATAAAGGAAAACGATTCCAACCTACATGACATGTCTACCCAAATCTAGAGCCTCGGTATTTTAGCTAAAGTCCTAAATCGATTAGATTTTGATTCATACAGTTCTAAATTGATTAATTTCGATTCGATATGTTTTTACAATAATGAAAGTGGTTAAACTGTTTCAAAAATACTCATGTATTTTATTTTTTCATGTCATATTAAACTCAAAATGCAAACTTGTAAATCGGACAGTTTAAACTTGAGATGGGAAGAAAACTGTCTCAAAAGTGCAAACTTGTTTGTGAAAAGTGAAAAAGTGAAGCCTCACACGAGCAAGCAGACGTGACACAGTGGAGACACAGCAGACATGCATGAGCTGCATTATCTTCACTGCACAAACCATATTTGCAGCTTTGTCTCTAACAACTACAGGGTGTTTGCTGTTCAGTCCCCATTTGTTAATGTCTTTAGTCAACATTTTGGCTGTATTTGCAGCTGCCTGGCTTGAAGTAATCTTGGTGGTCTGTAGCACAAGCTGCCACTCAATCTTTGTAATGGGAAGTCACCTTAATGTCACATATCCAGCACATTAGCCGTTTTAAATCCAAAATGGTTCCAGACATCAGACTTCAGTTGAGACAGCTTGCTGAGCGGTGTTACTTGGGTTGGCATTTGCACACGCCTACTTAGTTGAATGTGAACGTCACATGCGTCACTAAAACTCATTGATCTCATTCCCTACACATTGATTTTGCCAAAATGCAAAGGAATCGATCCAAAACCTTTTTTTTTACCCACCCCTACCCAAATCACTGTAAAACTTAAGCTGGAATCTCAAACGATCATTCTTTGTCTCTTCATTGAGCAAATCCAGTCTCTTAACTAAAAATAAGATGCAGACTTTGCTAGTTCAGAAATATCTACGCACAAAGACTTCAGCCACTGCTTCTCATGTCCCAAATATGTACGACGCCTCTTGAAGCTTTAATACACACATTTTTCGTCTCCATCAATCCCTTGCTTACATTTTTTATAAGGCTAGCTTTTTTTTTTCTCCTTCCGCAAAACTTTCCAGTAGCAATTATGTTTTGTAGCTCAACCTCCATGTAAACCAAAGACTTAGGGCTATTTCTATGATTAAAATAGAAAATCCCTTTATTGTCCCACAATGGAGAATTATTTGTATCATAGAGACTTCCAATTTTATTTCATAACAATTGATATAAAGTCAATACACTTGCTTTAAAGGTACAAGCTCATTCAGACTACAAGAAATAAATGTTCTTACAGTTCTTTATTATCATTTTGGTTGCATAGTTTCAATTCAACAGATCTGCTAGTAGATCATTGTGAAATATTACAACTTATTAGCAAAGACAGAGACTACACAGCAGCCAGTAAACATTTGCAAAGTAGTGGAATGTCGTTCATATTTAGCCTTATTTACAAACTTTTAATACTTAAGCTGAACATAAGGCAGTTAGTTATCAAAATGTGTGGTATTGTTCCAGAATTTAACATGTGCTGTGAATGAGGAAAAAAGAAATCTCAAGAACCAGAGATATTAGATTTTTCTTTTTTTTTTTTTACTCAAAGCTGAATCCCTTCTTAAAAGCAGCTCATCTGAGGTTCTTCTGTTATGATGGCTTAGCTCACAATCTGAACTGGGAATTTGATGCAGAACAGGTCTTTGTTGTCTTTATCTCTCAGCTCCCACTCCACAACACATTTGATCTAGAAATACAGAAGGAAGTCAGTAACCACAGTGCATCAGATGTTGGATCAAATAAATGAGGAAGAAGTTAACTGTTGCCATTAGATTCAAACTGCTTTGATTATAGAAATAGTCACTTAAATGTGAAGCATGAGGAACTGAGTCACACTTACAGAAGGATACTCGCTCTTTACTGGTAATGAAGCCTGGTAATTATAGGTCTGGCCCTTCGTGATGGGACACTGGATTCCAGATCTGCATCCATCTGGCACAGGGATGGGGAAAGGGAGCGGGACACCTGCGACAATACCATGAACCACAGCCGTGCTCGTGTCGCTATCCACATCTTTAAAGGATGTATAAGAACAGATCAATACACATATTTGAGTTGGACTACTTTGAGGGTGAAAGCATCTCATTGAGAAACAACACGTACTGCTAATGAATGTGACATTGACGCTGTAGGAGTCTCCCTTGTGAAGCTGACAGGGTTGCGAGGGACAAGGGTTGATGTCCACGCCGGTTACCTTGCCTGAAACGGAGCCTGGGAACAAAAATGGAGAGAAACTGGGTTTGTAGGATACAGACTTATTTCCAGGGTCCTGAAACACATTGAACAGATCGTCATAGCTAAATAACTCATATTGGTTTATGCTGGAGAAGAAAAGTCTTAAATTAGTAGCTTAAACTCATAAAAAGGCCTGTTTCCAGGCGACCAGCAGACCTGATTATAAAGTAAAACATGGTGGAACATCAAAAAACGCATCATCTGTGCTAAAACCAGATGAAATAGAATGGCGGAGTGAAGTCCAATCAGCTTAGGCTAATAATTAAGTGTTTCCACAGGAAAACTTACATTTCTCAGTAGGCAAATAAAGAAAACAAACAGTTTGACACCCTCCTACAATAGAATGATAAAATTATCTAGTTTATCTGCAATTTTTTTGAGTTGCATTCACTTTAAGAGGAGTTAAACTCTAAAATAAGATAGAAAAAACACTGCAAGAAACAAATCTGTATTTCAGCCATGTGAAGAAGAAATAAAGGAATTGAAAAATGCAAATCTTCCTGTGTCTGCAGAATGACTGTAAAAAAACAATCTTTAACTGTTACCATGAGTAGCTGATTTAATCAGCATGAGTTAAATCGGGGGCGGGGGTCCATTATTGGATTTTTTATTAAGTACAATAATTGGTGGGACCTGATAATAGAACTTAATATTCAAATTTGAAAATTTCCTGTGCTTCGTTTCGATCTTAATATTAAACTTTGCCCTTTAAATAAATGCTGGCCTTCAAAAACAAACAGCAATAGGCTACTTCCCATTTAAAACCCCGACGTTTCCTAATCCAAGGCACTTTTAATGTTTTTATTATTTATTTTTTATATTTTTCAATGTTTTTATACATTCAGAGAGAATAAAGAGTTAACACAAAAAAGAAATGAAACTCTTAGGTGAAATGAAACTCACCACAGTCCAGGTATTTCACCGGCTGCGCCCAGCTGACTCCCATCAAGCAGAGCAAAACTATTAAACCAGTCCGCACATCCATGTTTCTAATCTTGTGTTTGAGCCTAAAAAAGAACACCATTTGTTAGAATACGTAACAAAATGAGTCGTTAGTTAAAAACATGGTAAAATGTGCCTGAGTATCGATGTACCAACCTAAAAGTTAACAAGTGACAAAACAATAAATGGAGACGAACAGAACCGGTCGCCTCTGTCACCCAGGTATCTACTGCAGCTTTTATAAGTTTTCACCTCCAAATAAACACGCAGCTCCACTATGAAACCAACAAGCTGTTATTTCCGTGAATAGAATCACGCGATTCAAGTCACGCCCTTTCTACTTCTCTGCGCGTTATGACCAGCTTTAATACGTTGAGGTGCAACACTGCCACCTACTGGCCTGACGTAAACCCAACGCTTCCCTGTCTTATTTTACATTTTGTCACAATTTTTTTTATATGAGAGTCTATAGAGGTTTTTTACGACACATATATGGCACATTTATACCAGAAATGTGGAAATAGCCGTAATGGATTGTGGGATAAACAAAGTTCCATTGAAAAATGTGTTATAAATAGTGCTGCTGAAGAGGGAGGGTTGAATGTGGACTGACTCAGTTTGGTGCCTTTAGGCAAATAACATGTTTAAACCAAGAAAGAACCCTTTGGTTTGAGCACATATCCAAATTATCCTTTATATATTGTCTCTGAATTATGTACATGTTTTTCCTTTAATACTGCAACTTCTGCGGTCCCATTTGAATTAACAGATGTAAACAAAAACAAAAAAACTCAGCCTTAATGTATATTTTACTTATTGTTATTATTATTTATTTTTTGCTTGTTCTAGGGTTTTTATTACATTTTGCGATTTTTTCCTATTTCGACCGACCTATTTTGCTTCTTCTAAAATTTCTTGCACCCTAAAACTGTCGTTCTTGAACTGCGAAACAGAATTTATGACCAATCACATAGCACAACAGTGGAAATAGGGGCGTATCCATTCGGCTGAGAAATATTTCAACCAATCAGAACGCTCTGTGTGTGTTGCTACGTGGTGGTAGTAAAATTTTCCCCGAGGTCTATTATGAAAGATGTCTGCGTTTAAAGGAGCAATGATAACTGCGTCAAAGTCAAAAGTGCTATGCCTTGCGAGGTAATTTGAACTTTACAACACTGTAGAAGTAATTTCAGAACTTCCTTACTTAACATGATATTTTATTATAGTGTCGAAGTAATTAAAGACTGCTGTCGGTTTGTATTTATCTCAGTTAGCAAGCTAGCTGTCAGTTCAACCGTTAAGTAAAGCTAGTTAGCTTAGATGCTAGTAGCTTTAAAGGTATTTTGACAGTCGACATGTAAACACAGCTCTGTGTTTTAGGGCGTCCATTCTCCTAAACAACGTCGGCGTTAAGAAAGAGCTTTACCGGCTTCCTGAACGCTCCAAACCGCTGTACATAGCGGGGCAGCGGAGCTTCAGCAACGCCTCCGCCCGGAAGGAGCAGTCTGGGGAGCCGAGCTCATCAGAAGACAAGGTGCTCCTCACCGATTCATGCGTGAAGGTACGTTAATACTCACGATCAGGCTTTAAAATGTCATCTTTTTAGGCTGAGCGAACAGAAAAACACAATTTTGATCGAAACCGTTAAAAGTAGGGATTAAACGTTTCTGAACCATCAAGCATATACATCTTCATCGTATATTCCCCTTCTTAAGTTGCCAATCTTAGCCGATTCCTTGCCAAAAGCATTTTTTATTTACAATATAAAGTGTGTCAGACAATATTCAGGGAATGTCACCGTTTTTCCAGATTTTTATGATTTTTAGTATTGATTTTTTAAAAGTAATTTTAGTCTAAACTCTGTATATGCATTTTTTTTTATAAATGGGAAAAACTAATTACTTTTCAACCTAATTGTTGATTTAATATGATGTTATATATAATCAAAGGTTTTATGTTTTGTTAACTCCAGAGGCTTTCAGAAATCATGGAGAAGGGCGAGTATTTAAGAATACAGGTGGAAGGAGGAGGCTGTTCTGGATTCCAGTATAAGTTTTCTGTAGATCGCAACAAGAATGAAGAAGATAGGTAACGCTTTCCGCACACCTTCGTCTCAAAAATATTGGTTCACATAGATTTTGGGGTGTCCTGCTTGCCTCATCTAATCCACCCCTGGGTTCTTTCTGCTCTGCTTTCAGGGTGTTTGAGCAGGGTGGCGTAGGCATCATCGTTGACCAGGAGAGTCTAGAGTTTGTGAAGGGATCCACTGTGGACTTCACTCAGGAACTGATCCGCTCCACCTTCCAGGTGCTCAAAAACCCTCAGGCAGACCATGGCTGCTCCTGTGGAAGCTCCTTTTCTGTTAAACTATGATCGGTGCATCTCCACTGTTGAATGTGTTGATTCAGTATTTTATTAGGTGGATATCTAGAACAAAATAATGATTTTTTTTTTTTTGAAAAAGAAAAAAAAGATATGTGTCATTATTAAGTTTTCTTGTTGCTAACATTTGCATCAGTGGAAGGCTTTATTCAGGCAGTTTTTGATTCTACTAACAAAAAAATCAACCTTTTAACCTGAAGAAAACAGAAATCAGTATCTTTAATATGGAGACACTGTAAGCACATTGACAAAGAAAATGTTGCCCCTCTGCAGTGCTGTTGCTCTATGTGAAGTTAAACGGTCTGCATTATGTCAGTCAAAGGGTTAGTGGATGGTCTTTATTAGAAAGCAAATATGATAAGAACAGTAGCAGCTTAAATGATTTCATTTCATTTGCCTCAGATGCCGTATTTATGCTCCGTTCCACAACTAATTGTTGTTGGTAATGACAACAGTTCATTAGTTGGAAAGAGTTTTTAATGTTTCAATAAGATGATGTGTTGGGATTAACTTTAACAGCTCAGGATGTTACATTACCACTTTGCCACTTTATCTTTCTACCAAAATGTTACTGGAATCTCATCAGATTCTGTAGGTTTGTGTAAAGGAAGGTGCATTAGCTTTAATAGTTAATGCTAAGATGCAAACACTAAAAACTAACTTCATAATCTAGTGAGTAAAGGGGTATTTTGCTGTTTAAATCAGTTCTCTTCCACCAGTAACACTGAAACTGGAGATTAATTTGCCAGCTTTGTGTTTTCCTTTTTCTTCTTGTGTGTTTGTGAAAATACGAGAAAGTGAATCCAATATATTGATTATTTAGTCTGCTATTTGAAGACGTGTACAGCAGCTGATGTTTTCCTACAGAACAGAAGATTTCTGTAGTGTTTTGTGAGTTTCCTTCCTGTAAATGATGTAAATAAGTCTGAACTGCAGTGTGATTATAAAGGTTTAATTTATCGTGTCAGATCTAAAATAAACCAGGCAATTTATGAAGCACATTTGTGATGTGATAAATTTTATTATCTCAATGAAGCAATTTCCTAAAATTCTAAGACTGGGCGCATAAAATTTTTACATAACTAAACCGACAGAAAATTGGAAAGTAGCGGAAAGAAAAAAAATATTCAGCTCCCCTTTCTCTGCTAAGCTAAGCTAGCTTTATGTGTAAGTATTGATCAAAGTGTTGAGCAGACACAATAAAGCACTGAAACAAGAATAGAAGAACGCAAAAAGAAGTGAAAAAATAATTTGGTAAAAGAAAGAAATGAAGTGTTTTTTTGAAAATACAAAGTGAGGAGGCTGGGAATGATTCAAAAGCAAAACTTTTTTCCCCTCTATGCTTTTTCTCCTCAATCTCTAGCAGAATTGTTTCTCTGCTCCTATTAAATCCATCGCAGGCTGTTTGCAGAAATTCCCTAATTAGCAAACAGGAGTCCAGCTGTGTGTGATCTAATCTCCGGATAAATGCAGCTGTCCTTGGAAGGCCTCAGGTTTGTAAGTGAACAAACGTCAATGAACAGAGCGGACAGGTCAGAGATAAGCTGCCGAAGCATTGAAAGCAGATAACAATAGAAAAACAATCATTAGGAACATCTTTTGGTTTTAGTGTTTATCTAATGAGAACTGAAACCAACCTGCTTTTTTCATCCTGCCATTCAAAATTTTATTTTAAAAATCTAAAGATAAGAAATATGAATTTTTACAATCTAAAATTTTACATTTCTTAATTTCTAACATTCAAATCTTAGTAAAACATGGTAAACTGAACTTATTTTTTTTTTTTTTGAAGGACTTTAGATCTAGCATTGTAAGACATTTATTCAGTTACAGTGAAGCACAATTCCTGGTAACTGAAGGAGCTGCAGAGACCTACAGCTCATATGGGTGAATCTGATGACGAGACAATCTTCTATGCAAAAGTGGGAAAGCAAGGGGTCATATTTAAAGATTGACCATTTATTTTTGAAGTAGCAGGTGTTGGCCATCATGTGGGAGAAGGTGGTCTGGTCATATGAGACCGAATTTAACAGGAAAGGGCTGAGTGTTCGAACTGCACCATCATCATGGTGACCAGGGGCAGCATGATGCTGGGGGAGGTTTATTTTTCCAGGATGGACTGAATGTCAGAGTAGAAGTTAAGGAGTTTGATAATTTAAGATGGAAGTTGACAAGCAATTGGATCGTCCATCCATCCATTATCTGACACGCTTGTCCCAATTGGGGTCGCAAGGGGTGCTGGTGCCTATCTCCAGCTGTCAATGGGCGAGAGGCAGGGTACACCCTGGATAGGTCGCCAGTCCATCGCAGGGCAAAACTGAGACAAACAGGACATACAACCATTCACTCACACCTAAGGAGAATTTAGAGAAGCCAATTAACCTAACAGTCATGTTTTTGGACTGTGGGAGGAAGCCAGAGTACCAGGAGAGAACCCACGCATGCTCAGGGAGAACATGCAAACTCCATGCAGAAAGACCCCGGGCCGGGAATCGAACCCAGAACCTTCTTGCTGCAAGGCAGCAGTGACTCAATTCATGTCAACATGCCGGTGTAAAAAAAAAAAAAAAAAAAAAAAAAAAGGAAGAATATTAAAGTTCTTTTTTTTTTTTTATTAAAATGGAGTTTAAGAAACACTTCACAAAAATATACAAAAAGAATATCTACAAATGGTATTTACAATGGTGAAATGTAAATCAAAATATGCAGCAACATTTGTTTAGTAGTTAGTATTTAAATACGTGGAAATAGTTTTTCACTTTTTATATTAGACCGTGGTAAACATTCCATTTTCACAATAAATGTTATCACACAAAAACATTAGTTACTCTCCATAAAAGTCACACTGTTCATATTCAAGAAAACGCAACGATAATATAGCAGCACACCAAAGAAAGTGACGGCAAAAATTGCAACAGTGCATTAAGAGGTCAATATACAGCAGTTTTTTTTTGTTCATTTTTGTTTTCTGAGGAATTTGGTCGGACAGATTGTCTTTCTGTAAGTTTTTTTTTTTTTTTTTTTGTTCATTTTTGTTTTCTGAGGAATTTGGTCGGACAGATTGTCTTTCTGTAAGCCATGCACGCTCGTAAACCATGGAACAGATCCTCTAACAAATACGAAACGTCATGAGGGGAAACATCACTGGGAGGGGTCAGAGGTCAACCAGTCGATAGCACGACCACATAACTCATAAATGATCCACCAGAGCAACACAGTGACCAGGTCAGGTGTACAGTGCATAGTATGCTTTGGCATGCTGACATCCAGAACATAACAGTGGATGTTACATTCAGGAGGAAGGCCACAAGAGATTGAATAACCAGTAAAAAAAAAAACGACGAATGAATTCATGATCCATAAGATACAAAAAACAAACCCCCAAAATCCTCACAGACACTCAGATTAAGGCTAATTCATTAATGCTACATGTTATTAAAAAATGGCATTATCAGAAACAACAACAATATAGGCCTTTCGAGTGTAGAGATGTATACAGATAGCTCTCATTTTTTTTTCCTTCAAAAAAATAATTCACTGCTGAATGATATGCACACATTAGGTTTTCCTCCTTTATAATCATGGGTTACACAAGAGTCTGTTTGCTCTCCAACTGTTTTCATGACTCAAATGAAAATGAGTTTAGCACACATGCATGCACCAAGGTTTGAGGCAGTAAATAGAATCACGACTTTCACTCATCAAGCTGCCACGTCTGTCCTCCTCATCCTTTTTTCCTCTATTCATGGAGCCGTGATGGGAGACGCTGACGCTCCTATGATGCAGGACGCTGGTCCAGGCGGGATTCTCAGTGAGGGGCGTGGACACACCTCCACACAAAAAGGCTGTAGATGAATGCAGAGGAGTGGAACGTGTGCATCAATCACAGTGCTTTTAATTCTGAATCTTTTCGCATTTTGTCGGATTAAAGCAGTGAGTAATTGTGCAAACAAAAGGAAAACTGTTAGAAACACTGTTTACGTAGAAAAATGTAAAGTGTGGGTATTAATTCCCACCCCTTTACTCTAAAGCCTTAAAAAAAGTCCTAAGGAATATCAAGTCCTGTAACAGGCGTTGAAATGAGACCAAAATTTTCATAGTAATTCTAAAAGAAAAACTATTATCTCCTATTCTCACAGACTCTGTCATACGCACAGCTGTCTGATACATACTTAAATTTCTAAAACACAAGCAACACAGGAATTCAAACATAAAGAATAAAGTGGATCTGGTTAATTTCAAAATAAGAGAGGAGGCTGTCTGGATTATGGCTGAAACAATTAATTGGTTTAATAGTGATTAATTGTATAGTGTACAGTATAGACACTCTAAAACATGCCTTTAGCTAACAGTGAAACCCATTCGGAGCAGCAATTATACCAAGATTGTAAACAAATATTAAAACATTTTGCATTCAAGATAAAAAAGTAAAATATTCCGTCTGTCAATATGCTCTATCCAGAACCAGAAGTGGAAAGTTTTAGTTTCCACCTGTTTTAATTGCGCAAAACATCTTCTTTAAGTAACTTTTTGCTATCCGATTATTAATCATAAAAATAATCCACAGATTAATTGATACAGGAATGCATTTACAGGCATCCGGTGGGATTTCCTACAAGAGACGAGAATTTATCCATTTAATTTATCCCTTTGGTTTTAAATGAAAAAAAAATTTTAAACTACCTCAACGGGCGTGTATCCATTTAGTCATGAACACAAAAGCAATAGAATTACTTACTTTTTGGTGTTTTTTGAAGCGTATGGCAATCATACCTTAAATTGTTTTATTTTTAAACGCAAATCTGACATTTCGCTTATGTGTATTGACTATGGGTATGGTGGTGTGAAGGGGTATGCTCATCTAACAGAACACCAGATTACATTCTGATCAGATGTTTAACTTCCTGCAAGATAGCAAACCTAAAAATACTGACAGAGATACAATGAAAAGCTTAATCTAGTTGAGAATTTGCGTAAATACATAAAACTCGATGTACATCTAGGCTCTATCCGATCTAAGCTATTTTGCAACAAAAAAAGGGGACAAAAAATAGTCCTTAAGTTTGTAACACTGTTATGTAGTGAAATGTTTATTTACTGAGAAAATTAAAAAATCCATTCCTTCCTCCCACTTTGGAATTATGCACAACTTTGTGTTGATATATCCAATATAATCCTGTTAAAATGCCTTAAAGTTTGGGGTTACAGCCTATAACTCTGCTCTGTCAGCCTCAGTCATACCTCCTGTCATCGCCGCCAGCGCTGACCACGAAGCGATCTCCGTTTGTGAAGCGAACATTTGTCAGGTGAGCGGAATGACCCAGAAATCGTTTGTGTTTGGCCTAAAAGGAGACGGAAACACAGATACAAACCCCATCAGAGCAGATAGATCCATGAACAAACACTAATACAACATTTTAAACAGCATGGTAGAGAAAAAAAAGGGATTACTGAAAGAAAATCACATGAAGACTGAAACCCGGCATGGTTCATTCATAAAGCACCCAGAAATCACTAATTACCACTAGGGGGCAATAAAGATCAAAAGTGATGTTAAGACTAAAGTGAATGTTCTCAGAACTAAACCGTCTTCAATGCAGCGTTTCAAAGACAGAATAATTATCACAGCAGTAACAATAATATAAAGCTATACTTACAAACTTCTCCGGAGAGGGAAAGTCAAACAGCTTTACCATTCCAAAATCATCTCCTGTTACAATGTTAAGGCCTGAGTGCGACACACAAGCACAGGTCACATCTGCTTTATCTGCATTACGGGACCAGATTCCCACCACTTCGTCTCCCAGGACACTGTCATAAACACAAAGAACGCAACGTCAATAATCCTCCTACATTTACAAAAGAAAGCCTTCAAAAGGTGCGACCACACAATGAAATGTTCCATTTTATATTTTTATGTGATAGATACTGTAAACAAAGCAGAGCAGAACCGTGAGGTGGAGGGAAACATGGGAAGTCTTTTGGGGTTCTTCT